GACACGTGCCCTGTGGTTCGGCACGCGTCATATATATTGATATGTGTGAATTGTCTATGGATCGATATGCTTCCTATATGTTATGTTATGCTATATAATATGTGGATTGTATGATAATAATTATGGTACGATGTGCTCTAGGAGATGTTTGAGATAGGATACGAGAAGGATGCACAAAACAAAATGTAACGATAGGAGTAAGATACGTTCACGAAACGTTAGGTTAGGTTACATACCGGAGTGCTATGGATAGGAGAGATTGATGAAAGAATACGGTTAGGTTATGGGTAGAAAGGGATAGGTTTGTGATAGATTGATAGAACGATGGCGTTAGGATACGTTCTGGTGATGATATGACTAAGGTACGTCACGTAATGATATGTCTGTGATAGGTATAAGAACGTTAAGGCTATGGTAAGTTAGAGAACGATATGACTATGAAGTGTTTACGTTATGACTTGGTTATGATATGATCCATTGTATGCTAGATTATTGTGCTTAAGTACGAAATCATGTGAACGTGAATGTATGTTATTTATGTTGCTTAGTTGATGTGATATGAATGCATGTGACGATGTGTGGCCCTTGTACGATTATGGCTTGTTGTATGGGTATTGGAATGTAACTGAATGAATTGTATGACATGAAATACGGTAAATTGCACGATACATAACCCTGCTAGGAATATGTATGATACGTAACGAAATGAGAATGAGAATGACATGTAAGCATGAAAACGTGGCGCGGGGTTATGCTCATTAAATGATGACTGTAGGACTAGTGGGACCTCATGCATATTGTGTGTTCATGCATTTGGGGGGATACCCCTATCCCATCATGAGGGTACGGACGCGTACATCCAAATGGCAGGACAACGATCGTTATGCTCCGCATAGCGCTGCCGTGACGGGTTTAGTTTTAACGGGTCCCGGTGGGCCCCCAGAGCATGCCCACCGGCTAGGGACAGTGGCCCAGCGGTGTGCGAACTAGCTGGTGAGCTCATACTCGCACGTATGGGCTGCATGTAGAGTATGTGGTACACGTCCACGATTACCTGTTAGGATTACACCGTTGGGAAAACGAAATGAAACGAAACGAAACGAAAAAGAAACGTAACGAAACGAAACGAAACGAAAGATAGGTCTCATCATTTCATTGCATGTGATTGTTGCATTTAACCCCAATAGTGGGGTCACTTACTGAGTATTTCTTTAAATACTCAGACCATGTGCTACTACATTTTTCAGGTTAAGGCAAGGCATTCCTGTACGGCTGATGACGGCATCGCAACTCGAGATCATGGCACATGCATAGGCTAGTGGTATTTATTTTCCTAGACTTAGGATAGAATAGAATGTTTTAAACTTAAACGCTTATTTATTTTATTTCGGGTCTTTTGTTGTGTCGTTTAAAGATGTTTTCGAAACACGTAAGTCCATGGCTGTGTTTTTAAGTTAAAGGTTATGTTTTATGGAATTTAAATGAAGTCTTCCGCATTCAATGTTTATGGTATGTATACAGTAGCGACCTTAAATTAAGTGGAAAATTTTGGGTCGTTACAGAAATCAAGATGCTATTTTCCTTTTCTTATCAAAGAAAGGGATTGAAAGTCTCAGTCTAGTCCATCAACTAATACACTCATGGAGTTCCCGTGCTATAGTAGTAGTGTGGTAGTTTAGACTTCGCCCCTCTCCCTTCGGTCGAGCGGTTTCACCCTTCTCTCTTAAAGCTACGGCATCCTACCGATCCTCGCATCGGCTCCGCTAGTTGCCTTTGCTATCAAGGCATAGCATTCTATAGACTCTTGAAGCACGTCCAGAAATGGTATGCCAACAAACTCCTTAACCAACCAAAGTCTGATGATGGCAATAACCGCGTTTGCCGTTAAAAGTCAACCGGTCTTCTCCCTACGCCGGTAACACTCCTCTATTACCACGGTCTTCCAAGGAGGATATGTAATACGGAAGACGTCACACCAGACGTCCGACTTTCACTTCCCTAGCTCCAGGGGCACCTTCTCACCCCTGACTCACCTCTTCAACATCTATAAAAAAGCCCACAGCTCATGCCCTTTTTGGTCTGATTCGATAGGGCTCTTCCAGAGTCAGAGCCCCCTGACTTAAAAGCTTAAAAGGGCAGCTGCCCTAACTGATCCACCAGCCAGCCCCGTGGACGCTATGTTATCCGAACTCCCAGCATCAATGATCATCTTTGCACTGGCCAATTCCGACATAGATTCAGAATACTGCCTTCCGTCTCCTCCTCCTTTCTGCTGACGTTGGCTCACGTTGCCACACAATCTAACGACAGCGAAACTTTCTTCTCTCCTAAGCTTCAGAACCCACGCTATGTGATAAGATAAGGAATCAATACAAGGGGAATAAGATTCGGATTACCTTGTTGATCGAATATCTCAAGCCAAGAACACTTTGTTTGAGATTCGAATCACTCCAGAAGCAAGATCGATCATGTCTAGCTTCAATGATTCTTGTTGATCAAA